ATGCATGTTTTTGGAATATGAGAGGAAGCCGGAGTACCTGGGGAAAAACCCCACGTAGACACGGGGACAACATGCAAACTCCACACAGGAAGGCCAGAGCCGGAATCTAACCCACAACCTCTGCACTGTGAGCAGTCGACCACTGGGCTGCCTCCTTACGACATATCACATATATAACTAATCTCCCCCGATGATCACAAGTTTCCTCCACCAAATCAAATGTCTGTCATGGTACAAAGATGAGTTTGAGGCATAAAACAGGTTTAATATTTACGATAACTGTTTTCTGATCAGGTTGGGGAGGAAGACTCACAACACTCTCATGAGAATCTTACGATCAGGCGTCACTGACTTTGACCCAATAGGCGGATACTCAAATATGGCCCTATTATAAGGATGTGTGTACCCCGGTCGGTAGAGGATGCGCCAGTAGAAGTTATCATTCTGAAACGCGGATTTGAGGGATGCTTATTAAAACCGCATAAATATTTAAAATTAACATCTGCTCCTGTTATTACAACACAGAGGCCTTGTTTGTCTTGACACAGTACATCTTCATAATCCCAAACGTTGACAAGCAGTTTCAAGTCCTTTCGAAGCAAATATTTATTCAGTTTTTTTTCCCCTTTACCTCACAGCATGTGGTGTGTTGTTTTCTAAACCGAGACGTTAGGATCGTGCGATGGAATTTCATCTTGTTTACCTTTGGTTTAAACTCATCATTCCTGTGGATGGAAATGAAACATCACGAAACCAGGTGGCTGCTTGTCAGCATTAATTCGATCAGTCACATATTTGAGCAATATTACATTTGAGATAGGATGGCACGAGGAGACCATGCAAACTCCACACGGGGAGACCAGAGCCGGAATCGAACCCTGCGCTTCTGCACTGTGACCACGGGCCCACCGGGCCACCTGTTATGTTTAAGAACTTGGTCCTAAAGTCTCTTCATGCCACGGGAAAAATGCAATTCAATGTATTGATTGAAAAAGGAGACGAACAGACTGTATGACTATAATTATTCACTCAGAACTATGAGAGAGAGAGAGAGAGAGAGAGAGAGAGAGAGAGAGAGAGAGAGAGAGAGAGAGAGAGAGAGAGAGAGAGGAGGGACCACAGACAGGTACCAGACAATAAACGCAAACGAACCAAACTGCTCAATGCAAATGACTCAGTCTCCAAAAAATGAGATTTAAGATTCAGCTGGGACAATCCATTAGAAGTGGTTTAGCACTGCGATAAACATGAATAATGACTCTTATTCCTCATTTAAGTGGAATCAGAGTCATCGCAGTAAGCACATGCTGAATTCCCATCTCCATGAAAGTGACGAACAAATTGACCTTAATGTTTTCCTGTCCTTGACAAACAGGATGCAGACTACAGTAAGCACATGCTGAATTCCCATGAAAGTGACGAACAAATTGACCTCAATGTTTTCCTGTCCTTGACAAACAGGATGCAGACTGGAATTAAAAAAAAAAAAATCTGGCCAGGTGACGAGTAAGATAAATGTGTTTCTGGATTTATGCGGTCAATTCATTTTGTGCTTAAGTGTGTAAATTCACTGACTCAGGGCTTGTGACATCAAATAGAACAATAGCCAAATAAGAAATGACCTGAGCGGTCGAGTACTTTAGTGTCTCACAAGTCATTCACTACAAATGTCAAAGAAAATAGTTTGCACATGCAGTCTTGTTTCCAGGCAAAGCCAACTAACTGTTAGCCAGAATCCGGGGGTGTCCAACTCATTTTTGTCGCTGGCCATGTCATTGTTATGGTTTCCCTCGGAGGGCCGTTATGATTGTGAACCCATATAAGTGTATAATTGCCTCATATTCCATCCATCCATCCATTTTCTGATGCGCTTTATCCTCACAAGGGTCGCGGGGCATGCTGGAGCCCATCCCAGCTGTCTTCGGGCAGTAGGTGGGGAACACCTTGAACCGGCTGCCAGCCAATCGCAGGGCACACAGAGACGAACAACCATCCGTGCTCATACTCATATGTAGGGACAATTTAGAGTGTTCCATTAACCTGCCACGCATGTTTTTTTTCGGAAGGTGGGAGGAAACCGGAGTACCCGGAGAAAACCCACGCAGGCACGGGGAGAGCATACAAACTCCACACAGGAAGGCTGGCGCTGGAATCGAACCCACGGCCTCTGCACTGTGAGGTTGACGCGCGAACCAGTCGACCACCGTATATAACATATGCAACAAATTATAGGCCAGTCAAAATTTTGTTCAAATTAATAATTATCACCTTTATTTTTAACAAGGGATTGGCAACAAAAAGCGTTCATGATATTGCAGTGTTTTTAAAAGGCAATAATTTTTTTATATTTTAGCAAGAAAAATGAAGTTGATTGATATAATTTGCCTATGAGGGTTGCTTAAAATGATGTGGCAGCAGACCAGATCTGTCCTACGGGCTTTGATTTTGACACTTGTGGCCGAGATGAATCATTCAAATTTAGCTGGGGTTTTCGCCCTCCACTCTGTGCTTTGTCGAATTTAAGGAGACTTCCAATAATTTCACTTAAGAGGGACTGTAAGATCTGGCATTTAGCTCTCGTCAGATTGTTTTCTGCGGTGAGTATCCACATTTAAGGCCAGAGTGGGGCCTGTGAAATGTGTCCAAACATGCGTCAGGATGGGTGTAGGCTCGCCGATGAATAGCCTGTGACGCAATGAGGAGACGACACCGGCTGATCCTGAAAAGTGAGGCAATACGTTTTTGTTCCAGTTGTCAATCACAATCAAGTTTGTCTCCTCACTTCCTGTTCAGAGGTCACATCCCCACCGAGTCCCCTGTGGGGTTGCCAGCGCCCTGCCCTCCATTCCTTTCATCCACAGGAGGTTTTCATGTGTAGGCTTTTGCTTGAAAAAGAGGTTCAATCATTTCTTAATGGGACTTGGCACCGCGTGGTTTGAGCGGAACAAGAACCACACGTGACCGCATGGAGGTTGTGCTCGCAGCTGCTCCTTAGCGGTGGGCAAACTGCTTATTTGTGGCATCTGTTTAATTGCAGCTCCTGCAACTTGTTGAAAATAAATGAACGGCTGCCTCCCGATGTTTTCCAACAAATGTCCCCCCAACTTTGGGTGGGGTTTATTGATAGCTACTCGCTTCCAAGCCAGAACATCCCCAAATGATTCTTGCGTAACACGCACATGATTGCATATTTTGTCAATGATACCATTTTCTGTGAAAGATTTCGGAAAAAAATCTTGAGCTGGTTTTATTCAGTTAAAAATAAAAAGCTAAATTTATACATGATCAAGAACTTCACAGTTGCATCATTTGATGCACATTTAATATATATATATTTTTTGGCGGGGGGTGGGGGGGGCGAACGAATCAAGTTCAATTGTCGTATTAGTATTAAACTGGTACTGTGTAAGAATGGATATTCATTTTAATTTTTTTATTGGGGAGGGTGGGTATTTAACACATTTAACTGGGCTGGGGTCGGGACGGTGTCTGAGTGGTTTGGACATCTGCCTCACAGTTCTCTGGCTTCCTCGCATGCTCCAGAAACAAACGTTCGGTTCGTTAAGGACTATAAACTGTCCAGAGGTCTGAATGGTTGTCACAGACTGAGGATAAACTCTCAAGAAAATGGATTGATAATGAGTCATGGCGAGTCTGTCTCAGTATGATTGGCTGGCGACCAGTCTAGTGTGTACCACAACATCTCAAATCACCTGAAACGCTCCAGCTTGTCCGCGACCACAACGAGCACTGTAGAACTTGGACGTCGGTTGTGCCAGTTTAAGTGCTTCGAAGAGGAGAAATAAAAGACTTGTGAGGCCAGTGGGTTTGTTGTTTTTAAATGACACGTTTATCACACAGTTATGGTCTGCGTTGTAAGTGCTCAGGAAATAAAAGGAAATAAGTGTTTACAACAAATATGTTTTTAAGACAGCGTCACAATTAGCTCGTCACAGTGTTGGTGTGGAGGCAAAACCCATGGAGCAGGAAGGAGTGAGCGCAAAAAAAGGGAATTATTTACAAAAAAGGCAAAAAAGGTACATGGAAATGAGAAACTAGTCGAGGGAAAAGCAAGGTCTAAACTAACAGGGAATACATTTGCCACAAAAGGAAACATGACTCGATGAGTATGACTAACAGTAGCTCAATGTACGGACAACCGACGAGAGCAAACTGAGAAAACAATGAAGCACACCTGGACAAAGCATGAGTGGGTGTCGGGAGTTGATTTGTTGACACAAGAAACGGGGCTGAGGAGAACACACCGAGACTAAATCGAATCAAGCAGACAAAACAGAAGACAAAGCACGTCGGAACTAAGACATAACATGAAAACACAACAATCTATCCGGCACAACCCAAAAAATTTCCACAAACCCATCCATCCGTTATCTATTCAGACATAGACAAGCCTGCAATCAACTTGTTGGAGGAAACCAGAGAACCTGGAAGAACACGCAAAGATGGGGAGAACATGTCGCTGCACTCTGTAGAAACTAGAACCAGGATTTCAATTGTCAACCAGACTAGCTAATCGCTACGAAGCCTGATCACATTCCTACAATTACAAAAAAAAAGTTTTCATCTAGTTTTTAAATTAACATATGTGGAAGGTGGGGGTCGGGGGGGGGGGGCTTGGCACATCTGCCTCAGTCGTAAACGTAAGTAGCCCACTTTCTGCATTCTTTGCCATGAAGTGCTGCATTATCCGTCACAGCCGAGCAAAGGGGGGACCTCACAATGAGGGGCAGGAGGACCACGCAAAGGCAAAGAATGCAGCTGATTGTGTCTTTTATCAATACGCTTTTTATCAATAAGATTGCACGATTGTCTGTGTCTCATGTGTTGTCTTGTATTATTTTGTCATTTTTTTGTTAACTTTTCTTTTGATGGCGGCGCGGACACCCGCAGCGGCTCCTCTTGTTTTATGTTGAGAGGGAAGAAATTTCATCTGTGCTGTACAGCACATTTGACAATAAAGTTGTATTCAATTCAATTCAATCAGCTGCCGCCACCGCAGTCGCAGCCAGCAAACTGAACCGCATTGTTGCAGGGCCTCATCGACACCCGTTTTCTCACGCTAAGAGCCTTTGCCAAACTGCATATTTGACCCATAAGAACATACTGTACATTTATTCCAGTTATCAATGTAAAAAAAAATAATACATTAAAAAAATACATCGGTAGCAGTGAATATTTACAACATTGTGATAAACGGGAAAAAAAGTGCTTGACCAGTGCACTATTATTGGACTGGCGACACATTGACTAAACAGAATGGCCTGCCAGTGGAAGTGCAATATTATTTTTCAAATTCTTTTTTTTTTTTCCTTTCTTTTCTTCCCTTCAGAGGGACTGCTCCAGTGTGTTGGCACATCCTTCCTGACTTCCCAGATGCTATTCAGCAGATAGGCATTCTTCCAGCTGGAGGTATGAAAAAAACAAAAAAAAATGTTGAGAATTCCTTTTCTGTTGGAGTGTTTATTAAATCGGGGCGAGCATGTTTTCACACACAGGAACGGACTGGTACCTTGGAATGCAGTCGGCCTTCTAGATGTTTTGGAAGAGTAAGAAGTTGGACTTCATGTCTTCTCGAGTGTCATATGAACTACAAGGTCACAAATGCAGACACCTACCTCATTAACGTAAAAAAAAAAAAAAGACAAAAACGAACATACTGTTTTTCACATGACACCGACAATTTGTTATTTTTAGGGCAGAGCCATCTCTTTAGTTTCACTTGATTTGGATGTCCCAATACTTTTGACCAGTGCGTTATTGGTAAAGTGTTTTACAATGAAAATTAATATCCGATTTTCAGTCTACCCTGCCCCCAATGCTGGAAATATTTTTCCATGCGAGACTCGCATTGCCCCTAATCAAACAAGGTGTACCCATCTAACAATTAAACTCAATGCAGCAAGTAAATTGGCCATACATACCCTTTCCTCCTTAGAAGACACCGATGCAGACAGAGCGCCACTATGCATATGACTGAACACAAAGAAACGCATTGTTCACAATTTGTTCAGTTTTAAATTAATAGAGTTAGTAAATGAGGTGGTTACCGAGTGTGCCGCACGCCACGCTGAGTATAACAGGTAAATAATCTGTAAGACACATGCGCCGCATCAATAACAATGCAAAATATCAACACTTCATGTGATCAATAACTCACCGAGATCTTTTTTGGCATCTGTGACCACGTCATGGGTTTCTGAAAAGATCATCAGCCAAATCAGTCAATTAAATGAGAATTTCTTTTTTACCATAATTAACACAAGTTTAATGTGGTTCATGGCTGGTTTCCACGACTACACACACACACACACACACACACACACACACACACACACACACACACGGGCGCGCGCGTGCAAAATAATAAACACTGTCTCTGATAATGTAGAAGTTTGCTATACCATGGAAGAAAGATGAAGGCGATGATGTCACATTATTTGCAGTCCCCTCCTCTCCCGCCATCGTCATTGTGTGTGTGTCATCTTTGAACACAAGCATGACAGTGACTTTCAAAAAAGCTACTTTGGGCAGGCGCATCTTAAAGATATTTGTGTGTGTGTGTGTGTGTGTGCGCGCGCACATGTGCGGTGTTGTACCTCGCCGCGTGGTGACTTCTGTACCACCCCTGATAATTTTATCTCTGTAAGCTGCTGCTGATGATGTCATGGTCGTTGCCGAAAGGACTGCAAAAAATGTAAAACAACCTGTCATGATGTTACCGAAACCTACAGATTAACATAATTTGCAGTATGTTTTTTTTTTTTTTTTTTTTTAATAAATTTCAACATAGAAGCAATACAATGTGGTCACAACGTAGATAAAAGATGCTCATGAAATGCTAATAGTTGGCCACATAATACTAATGCCGTTTTAGTGCAGATCTGAAAAGAAGTAACAAAAGTTACTTAAGGTGGGACCAAATTGCGAGCTGACCCACCAGATTCAGATAAAAATGCAACAGTGAGAAGTTCATTTTCAACTTTTCAATTGTTCCAGTCTGCTTGCATTGGGGCCGAATAGGGGCAGTGAACCACCAGATCTGAATAAAGTATGATTGAGGATTATTTTTTTTTCCCACATCGGAGCCAAATCGGGAACTTGACCAACCAGATCCAGATCGAACTGCACTTTTTTTTTTCTCATTCCGCTTGCATTGGCGCTGAATTTTGGCGCTGTGGCCCACCAAATTCAGCAAAAGGACGTGTAATACTCATTACCGCCCTCTACAGGACCAGAGTGCAATGTCACCTGGCTAGAATAATACTACATCAAAAATAACTGGATATATCTCAATAAATTATCCTAGATGCAAAACAACCAGTGCTAAGCAGCCTCACCTTTGCATTCAGGAGGCGGAGAATCGTATTGACCCGTTTCGTTGCACAGGATGGAGCCGTTCCCGATGAGCGTGTAGCCTTCGTCGCAGTTATACAGGATGACTTGGCCGTACGTTGGGAGGTCTTGGGAATCCCATGAATTTTTGCCATTGCTCACCTCTGCGGGCTGGTTGCACGTTATTACTGAAGAATGGCACAAACATAACAATCGCTGTTGATTTTGGAGGCTATATTTGGACTTTTTGAGCTTTGTATCGTATCATATCTTGGACAAGGTTGTTGTGATTCTCTGTCTACCAAACTTTCAAGAATTATTGTTCAGTGTTATCACAAGAATGCAATTATTTTTCACATTTGGCTGCGGTCAAAGGTTAGGTAAGTGCGTGTTCCTCTTCTACCGGTCACAAATTGGGTCACAAGCTTCAGAATTCCATTTACAGTTGTTCTCATAAATGGTGAAAACTCATCTGATGTTGAGCAGCTTTGTTTTTACATTAGCCAAGGCAGCTGTGGTCAAAGTTTTATACCGGCCCAGAGTTTTTTTTACATCATTCTCAACTATAATAATAATAATTTAAAAAAAAAGCTTAAATCAGTTAATTCTTCAGAATATTTGCCAGAAAATGCTCACAAATGTAAACTATTCATCAAACTTTCACTGATTACTATTTCCAGAGCCCAATTGATCTGATGTCACATGACTGAGTTTGGCCGCTATTACTTTCTCTTCTTGCATTCACAACTGCAAACCAATGGTCACACTTTCACAGGTGATGTCAATGCAAGAAGTCTCTTCATTTTCAACAAAGCCAAGTTGGCATTGGCCCAAATGTTTTCACATTTTTTTTCCGACCCATTTGGCTCATCGCAACAATGCTACTAATTTTGAAGGCTAGCTTCCATAAACCATTTGAGATCATCGCTCTACCGGCCCTTTTTTCCCTCTTAATCCCCTCCCCAAATATTTTTGAGAAAATCTGAGAGAAGATGGCTGAGGTAGTAGAGGAACACGTCGACTGATTTTGTCACAAACAAGCAGACAATGGAAAGAAGGTGGACATTTACTGTGACACTCGGATCTTCCTATCCAGCCCCGCGAGAAGCACTGCCTGAAGCTGGAGCCGCTAATTTCGTAACTGTGGAAACAGCAGGGTGATGGAAAAGTTACTTTAGCCCAGGATTTTCCTCTGTTTTGGTGTTCCCGCCTCTCTATAATCAAGAACATACATTCTGCATTTGCGTTGGCAAGAGGAATAGCGGCGGTTTTTGTTGAGAGGTTTTCAAACAGAACTTCAAAAGTCAATTGGCCCCAAAACGTTCTGGGAAAATCTGACCTGTGAACAAATCTTTCAGTGGACTCAGCATCTTGGTGAAGGCTACCGGAGATGGCAAAGGGAATTTTTCGTTGAGTGGTGCAATGGGGGGATTGTGCATCATTGAAAAACGCGCCATTTGGAGCACTCATAAGACAAGGTACCACTGCATTGATGTATCAATCCTTTCATGCACAAATAATGATAACCTGTCACCTGATAACCTGATAAGCTGTCCACTGTAGTGTCCGCTGTCCCTGAAAGGGTTAAAAATAACTGATCTTTGTTCATCTATCTCTACCCATGACATATAATGCAGGCAGAACATTTAAATGCTCTTCCACCAGGTGACAGAAGGGACAATTAACCTGTATCCAGTTATTGCCATTTATACAACAGACCAAGGGTGTGTTAGGAAGTTCACTCTGATGCCCGTGCACTACTCTGAGAGCGTGCGTGTTTGAAGAAGCAGAAAACTCTTTTCCTCCACTTCATTTGTCGATGTGACCAAAGATTTTCAATTGAGGGCCACATTCATAAAAATGCACAGATGCAAGGGCCACGATACAATTATTCGACTTTAACCTTTTTATGCACATTGTAACCTGATAAGCTGTCCACCGTAGTAACCGCTGTCCCTGAAAGGCGAAATTTGTTAAACATGCCACTATTTTGTCATTATTTGGAATATTGTTACATTACAGCTTTCTGTTAAAGGTGATAAGGCAAACTGATAAGATTTGGGGAGGGGCGGGGGTGGGGGGGCAACAGCCCTGCATCCCATTGGACTAGATCCAGTACTGCACTCAACAGTTGCAGAATCACATCTTTACATTCAGAACCAAAACAAGTGCAAACTGCAGTAAGAACATAATTTTTAAAACAGTTACTATAGGATGATTAATACGATATGTTCATAAATTCCAACTTGACACAGCAGAATGTGGAAGAAACTAGTTTTGCTTCTGAAATTGAATGATCTTTATGTACCATTGTTTCGAAGAGAAATTGTGTATTTTCTTTTCATCGTGAATAGTTTTTGGTTATCATTTGCAGATCTAATAAAGCTGTATCGTATTTATTAATAGTAATGGAAGCTATTTTTTTTTCGACACACTCCTTTCCTCACACTGCCAACTGGCTTGAGCTGCGAGTGGCCTATTGATAGTCCATTTCATTTTTAAATCCGTGATATCATAGAGCTTAATTTTCCATCAGTGGAAATGTGAGCGTGAATGCTTGTTTTTGTATGTGCTCTGTGACTGGCTGGCGACCAAAATCAAATGGGATAGGCCGCATCTCACCAAATCAAATGACGATTAGGGCTACAGCAAATGGTTAGATGAGCCTTTTGGCACATGAGAGTTCAAAGTTCAAATATTGCACGCGCGCGCGCACACACACACACCTGCAGGTTTTATAATGGCCTTATGAGGGCAGAAAGATTTTTCTTCACACTCACCCTTTGTCACACGTGACTTGCGCAACGTCGCCAAAGAGGGTGCCGGCTGTGGTGTCAAATATCATGTTCGGTTGAGGTTTAGGCACACCGCAGTCTCTTTCTATGGTGCCAAAAACAAAACAAAACAGTAAAACAAGGCTGCGTAATGAAGAGCAAGTATTTATACTCAAGTCGATTTTCATGGAATACCTAACCTGAGCATTTATATTTCTGATTACAAATAGATCTGTGCTGTCAAAATGACTCATTCCTTCTTTCAAAATCAGCAGCTGATGACATGTCATAGCAAAAGATATAAATAGAGAGCGGTAAAGTCAGGTGAGCTCGGGATCTTGATTGAGATTTGGGGCCTTAGTGCTGGGTATCAATTCAGATTTCCAAAATCTATTCACGAGGGACCAATTCAATTTAATTCAATTCACTTTTGATCGATTTTTTGATCCATCTGAGCATTTCATGCACTACTAATTTACTCAAACTTGGTGCATTTGTAAAAATATGAATATTTACATTAAGAATTGAACTTAGTGCAGTTACATTCATCATGTATGTTTTATTGAACATGACTTGATCAAAACAATAAATCATGATTTACATCAATTCCAACCATAGATTCTTCAGTTACATCTGCCTCGGGGCTGTGCCGGGTGCACTAAGATATATATATTTTTTCATCAGTTATTATTAGCTAATTTTGCTTTTTTTTTTGTTATTCTGTCTTCGTTAGCAAATCTATGACATCACATAGTTTTGATGGTGTAAAAGTCAAACCTACCCAAGATAATAGTGATGTGGGGATCAATACTGAAAATCAAAACTTCCAATACAGATCTTGAAGTAAGGAGTTTAATCTGTACATCTACTTTTACCATTTTTTTTCTTTTTGACTGTACAGTATCTGTACTTAAGTACAGAGTGTGAGTACTTTTGACAACTCTGCTTTGACATGTATCAGGAGAATGACAATTCCAGCTTACTTTTGCAGATGAGCTCAACTTGAGTCCAGTTGCCATTCTGGCAAGTTATGACTTCCGAGCCTGTCTCCTTTTCGTAGCCGTTGGAACACTCCAATGTGACGCTGGAGCCCTCTGGAAATTTATTCATCAGGTGTGCTTGGTCAGTAAACACGCTGTTTTGTCCTCTCTGAGGCCTGCCACAGTCGGCTTGAGGAAAAACAGGCCAAGTGTCAACGCCGGGATAAATAAATGTACAGGCTGCATGTGTATGTACTAATATGGAGCGAATGTGCGAAAAATTATTTTCTTTGCTACGCTGTCGTCAAACTCATGGGTGCCTTTCATCATTTCATGTGGCCCATGAAAGCCAAGTATGGGCACTGACTTCGTATTTCTTGCTAAAAGAGCCAAAATCGCAAATTGTCTTCACATATCAATACGTTGAGATATCGCAAGGTTTTTTTTTTTCTTGTTACGAATCTCCCTTTTAAAATAAATGTGATAATATTTCAACACATGGTTATTACTGGCTGCTGATTTCAAAACTAGCTCTTCATTTGTTGTGTCGATTCAATATGAGGCGATCATATCGTATTATTTTGGTTCTTAGTCATCACGGCACTCCGACAAAAACCATTAACGACATTGTGGCCCGCGACGAAATGAGTTAAACATTAGGAGCGACCATAGAGTTATTTGATGAAAAAAAACGCTATCATTTGAGGGAAAGGGTGTCCAACTCAATCCTCAAAGTCCTGCCGCATATTTTCCATATCTCCCTGCTGAAACACACCTGATTCAAACGATCAGCTCATCAGCAAGCTCTGAAGAAGCAAGATAATGATTCTGATCATTTGAATCAAGTGCGTTGCAGCAGGCCGAGAAGGAAAACAGGCAGGACATCAGGCCTTCAGGACCAAGTTTGGACACCCCTGTTTCAAGCTGTGCCTCAAAGCAACATATGACATTTTTAGATTTTTATATTGAGTATTGAATTCAGAAAAAGTCAAAAGCAGCGTGCAGTGTTGCTCCTCAACGCAAAGCAGAAATATGGAAAGAATTGAGCATTAGCATTTAAGAGTGAAGTTGAGCGAGAGAGATGACTAGAAGAGATAAGAATATTCGAACCAATCTTTGTGTATGTATGTTGCTTGACAATGGACAAATAGGCAGTTCGAAACTAGTTACATGATGCGTTCTTTCAAAGTCAGCACGTAGAAGTGATGTCATGAAGGTTGTGTTCTTGCCATATTTGTTCTTTGGATTTGGATCTTGCCAACTAGTCAAAGGATAAACTTTAATCTTTCTCATCTAAACTTTATATACTAAAACCTGGATGGATAAAAGGTAAATGCATAAATATGAAGAGGAATGGAAGTAGATGTTGGAGATTGAAGTTCAGTGAGAGAGATGGGGCAAGAAAATATGAACCAAACTTTACGCATGTATGTTGCTCACCAATAGGCAAACTGTCCGCTGTTAGGAAACCACATTTGCTTATTTACATTCAAACTCAAGCTTGTGGTTGAGTGACTTCATCCCATACCCTGGCACTTTTATTTATATGGCACTTTGATAACAGCAAAAGACAGAACAAACAAAACAAAAACATGGTGACAAGTGAGCTCTCAGTCTGTTTCAAATGCTAAGGAATGAAAATACATTTTGTAACACTTTTATTTCGACGTCTGTGATGACAGTGCCCTTCAAGGCAACTCACTCATCTCTCTTTTTGTACAGTATGTGCACATCAAACAGTACAGGTTTGTGTAAGTGTTCTTTCTTTGTATTGACTTTTTATTTTGCCTGGTTTTATTCCTCTGTCTACAGCCGCGTTGACATCGCAATAGAGAATCTGTGAAGTGTCAAGGCTGAATACATACAGACAGACTAAGACATTAATCGAGGATTACTGTTGAGAAGGTGAGGTAAAAAATACTAGATAAAATTATGTTTTATTTTAATTACACATACAGTAATACATTAATCGCAGAAAATATTTAAAATACCTTTTAATTTTAAATTGTAATTATATTGGAGCTACAGTACAGTGTCGTAAAATAACTCACTCTGTTTTTGATACCGCTCGTTAAATACATTTGGAGTATTTTTTTCACGTTATATTTTTTAAATGACATATTTTTAGTGTAATTTTAAATGCAGAGTAGTTTGACTCTGAGGAAATATAGTAACAACAGTAATATTTTTTTATTCTAATCATATAATCCCATTCATAGCTTTTGTGCTCACCTTCTGACCTCCACACAAAGCAGCAGCAAAAGAAGAGTAGAGATGTGAGCTTGAGGTTTGTGCTTCTTCCAAGTAGAAAAAAAAACTCCATATTTGCCACCTTGAGACCAACTGATTCCAATCCAGTCACTCCTCCTGCAGGAACTTGTCTAGTCGGTGAAACAGACGCGACTTTCTCTGTTGTGTGGTCCTCTCCGTTCTTTTGAGGTCCTCTTAAAGGGCAGCTGTCAAGTTACCACTACAATGAAAGGAAAAAGAGGGTGTAGCTTTCAAAATAAAACACATGGGAGAACCGTTTGAGGCGCTCACCGAAATGTACGATGGAATTGAATTACACAAGGATAAGTAGGAATTTAGAACGGGGTCGAATTTTAATGTTCAATGTAAATTTGAGACAAATCAAGTTCAAATTGGTTGGACATTACCACATATGTTGGATAAGATTTATTTCACAGGAACGGGATTTGAAAACTAATCCTTCTTTATAAAGCCTACTTTTGATGGAAACCTTTTTAATGTCTCGAACACAAAGACTGGCGTGCTTGTCTGCACTTCAAGTCTGAAATACAAAGATTTCTTGTATCTGCCCATTTCTGATGTACATGATTGAATTAATCAGTGATGGCACAATGGCCTTTCTTGCAGTTTGGATGTGGAGGGGTGCACAGCGCCTGCTCTGGTGGTAGCCTCAGAGTCCCCAATAGTGAAAAAATTCCAAAGACACTTTCTGTTTCATTCTGCGGGCTCTTCTTCGTGTCTTGCCCCAAATTTTACTTTGAAAAATCAAAGACAAACGCGCTTCCACTAAGAGGCGTTTCTCGACTTTCCTCTTGTCTCACGGATCATCAAACCATGGACACAAGTGAATCCCCCTTTCATTATTTTTCCGTGCGTGACAATTTGCCTTTTATTTCCGTGGTTAAGCTATGATGAATGTCCTTGTCAGTTTAATCGGGTCCCACATCTTCTTTTGCCAGGCGTCTACAATAAAATGGGTGTGGCCTCAATACGAAAGGGTATTCCCTCTCTGAATTATAGAGGAGGGAAGCCCATGTTTTTCCATTCTATTCCATTAGTTTCCATGTAAGAAAACAGAGCTATAAATATGTCAGTTCAAGGATGTCTGAAAGGATGATGACGACTGTTGTTGTTATGGTAGTAAGTTTGTGTGAATGTCGTGGAGACATTCCACAACTGTCTGCAACAAAGGGGCCTGTGCCTCAATGCCAGATGCATTCCGGAGTGAAATCCAAACGCAGAGTTCCACCTCTGGTTTTGTTGACACACTGGAGCCTCCCCCGGCAACGGTGTCCGAGGAACGTTATTTTGGGGCGAAATTGATGACTGCAAATGGATCAGCGAGGAGGAGTAGTGGTGAGCACGTATGCGTCACTGTTGAGAAGTCCTGGATTTATTAAGGCGCGCACGCACGCACGCACGCGCGCGCGCGCGCGCACACACACACACACGCACGCACGCACGCACGCACGCACGCACGCACGCACACACACACACACACACACACACACACACACACACACACACACACACACACATTAAATCCAAACCTTTCTGACTCTGTGAAAAAGTAATTTCCCCTTGAACCTAATAAAGGGTGGTTGTGCCACACTTGGCAACAATAACTGAAATCAAGCATTTGCGATAATTGATGATGAGTCTTTCAGATCGCTCTGGAGGAATTTTGTCACACTCTTTGCAGAATCGTTTCAACTCGCCATATTGGAGTTTTTTTTTTTTTTTTTTTTTTTAAGCATGATCTGCCTGCTTAAAGTCAGACTCAATTGGATTTAAATCCAGACTTTGATTTGGCCACTCCAAAACCTTGATTTTGTGTGCGTATGTTTTTTTAAGCCATTCAGCAGGAGACTTGGTGTGTTTCTGATTTTTGGCATACTGCATGATCCAAAAACGCTTGAGTTTGGGGCAACATATGACATTTTTAGAATTTTGTACTTTCTGGTACATAGTAGAATCCATTGTTCCATCAATCACAGCAAATTGTCCTGGTCCTGAGGTAGAAAAGCAGCCCCAGACGATCACACTGCCACCACCATGCTTCACTTTTTATCAAATGCTGTGCCATTTTGAAGCTAGGTGTAATGGGCAGCACACCATCCAAAAAGTTCAATTTGTATGCAATGTTATGTACTGGGACAGCTTCAATCTTTTCCTTTTAGGGAAGTGCAACATAGTCGATATAAAAAGTCGAAACACCACTGTTTTGATTCCAAGTGTGTCAAAAAAAAAGAAAAAGAAACCAAGATAAATCATTTTAAAACATTTTCAGATGTTCTAATAGGCTTTTCCTGACTTTTTTATGTGTTGCTTCTGAAGGCTTTGTGTTAATTAACACTGACTGCTATTTTGAAATTTAGAACTGTTCATATTTTTTTCCACCTTGACTTGGTTCCAATTTCCAGCTGAAGAAAACCGCCCGCTGTTCATGAGGTCAAAAGTCAGCTTCAGTTTATTCAAATACACACAAACACTTTTTCCAAAATGTGTTTCGGAGATTTAATTATGATTGCTGTTGTACCCAATCATTAGACTATTATTGTGTAGGTCCGAGATCATTTCCACAAAAAGTTGTGATTTTTGACACCAGTGCGTTTTTCTTTTTAATAGTTCTGGGCTAAAAGAAAAAAGTGGATAAACATTCCACGCTGTATAGTTCACCTGTTTGGCAGCATTCCAAGAATGTGATGCACACAGACGTGGGGATTTGCACATGGAAAGCTGAGAAAACAAGATGGGAGGCTTTTATTAGAGGGCTTGCCTCCCACGTACATATGCCAGGTCAAGGACTGGGCAGGCCATACATGACTGCTCATTTCCTGTTGCCATCCTTTCCTATCACTCACTTGATTTGAGAAAATTTGTGTGAACCCACGCCTCCTCGAGACCGGGTGAGGCAACCCCACCTTGTGGTGAAAAAGATGAACTACAAAAACATAACATCAGCAGGCTGGAGAAGCCTGAAGGCACCAGTGTAAAAATGGTACTCTTCTCCGGTACCATAAATTCTTGTGTATAATACTCATACTTTGCTGAAAATTACATTACACACACACACACACACACACACACACACACACACACACTAGCTGTTTTGATAATAACTGATGACACGAAATAATAATGCAATCAAATAAGGCCGTATCTCACTGAGTGGCGAAGACTTGCCAGTGTTTTCATCAGAGTGTGTTCAAGCCAGGCAAGGCAGCTTTTATTTATATTGCACATTTCATACACGGGGCAACTCCACGTGCATGAGAAAGGTTGCAAAGACGTTCGCCAGAACAGTTTTAATGGTCGCAAACAGTATTTCTTGTCGTCATCAAATTTTTAAAGGCCAACTGTGAAGTAATTTCAAAAAAATCCCAAATGAAATATTGTTATGTCACCAGTAGAGTAATTAGACAAAACGTAGTAAATAAAGCATGGGAAAAAATCCTCTCTCTTTCGTAAATTTGACAAAGTAATCGTTTTTCCGAAGTGAAATCCTGGCGAGCGACAAAACCAAAAGCGTGACCTCAAAAAATGGCAATATGGAAAGTGTACAAAGCCAGTCAGAAATTGATTCAGAAAGCGATCTTTCCAACTTGTTGGCAATCTCTATCTTGGTCCATACATGTACGAGCCAGATGCTCAGGATTTGAAAAATATTGTGCATCACCACTAAGCTAGCTGCTGCTGCCTGCTCCAGCCATTCGCTCTCCCAGTTACCAACCTCTCCAGATACGCACCACAACACCGGCCGCTATAAAAGATCTTTTGCATACAGTATTTAAAAAAAAAAAAAGTTGAGAACAAGCACATTAGATTGCAAGGCAAAGCAGTAGTCATTACACGTCAGTGGGTGGCGGTAACGCACTACTGTAGTTTGCAAACTGACGTTAAACACAATAAGATGGTGATGATTTGATGTTGATTATCCATTTGGGGAAAGAAATGTGGTTGTAATTACGACCATTTACAATGAAATGATCAGTTTTTAAGGCTGTTTATTAATTTTGGTAAAAACATCAGTCAATGTGGATTTTTTTTTTTTTATAATATCACATGCATTTTATTGAGTCAAATACAGTATGTATTTGATCTAGAAACAAATCAGTACTGGGTCACATACAGGTCAGAAAATATTCTGATGTGGCCACATGTAGTCCATCACATCATTTTTATGATACCTACTAAAGAAAATTATGAATAATGTCGGTTCTTGCTAAATGGATTTGTTATTTTCATTTCAGCCCAAAATCTATACCGAAATTGCATTTTTTTTCTGGAAAGAAAAAGACAAAACGACAGTACGTTGTACCAATCATTTTCTTGGGTTTTTTTTTCAATTTCCTGTCATGTACTTTGAGGCTGCTCCCTTACCTTTCTTGTCTTCAGCCTATTTAAAATAAAAAAAATAAATTAAAAAAAAAAAGAGACCTAACATGGAGCTCCGGACTGAGGGCAGCTGTTGGTCATTTGGTGACCCTTCAACTTTGGCATGATGGTGCCAATACTTGTGAACTTCTCTCACTAAGCTTTTTGCTGACACTTTCTGAACCATCCCAAGTTTTTGTACATCTGCTACCTTGTCCTTGAGCATCTTTGGAGAGTATAATGTACATTTTATAGCCCTGTATGGAAAATGATCACAATTTTAAACACAATATAGAGTCGATAGTGGGAAATACTGAAAAAAAGTCACTCCTACATAGTCATTGTACTCCTCACCAGAGAGGTTTTACAAACGACTCCATAGCAGTCCAAATAATTTATAGCCTTGTATTGCTGGAATTACACAGACGAGTGAAAACATACTTAGCATCATCTGACCTTTTAATAGATTTGATTTGTGGAGAAAACAACACGATTCCCATATCTGTGGTGGAAAAAAAGTCCGTTTGCATGACGACAGTGGCAATGAGATTTTTGTTTTTCATGGACACCATTTAGTGCAAGTCTTTAGGCTGTTATCAGTAAAACTTTATTATTCAGTGCATGAACAGAACACCATGTCAAGATCCTTTTTCTATATGTTCTTAAATATGGTCTTTTTTTTTTTTTTTTTTACATTAAAAAAATAATGGGGCAATATCATGAATAGACCTGTGTTTGTTTTCTTTTTCTGACACGTGCCACCCCCCATGCCGGTGAACCCCCGGAAGATCGCCGAGCGAATA